CATACAAAGAAGAGAGATGAAATAATAGCATTCTCCGAAGAAGAGACCGAGATGATGAAAGGTACAGGGTTGGAAGGATCAATTTTAGGCAAATGAGGGGACACCTTTTATGCTAACAGTTAGAAAGAAAAAGACTACTCAGAGAGAGATGAGTCTGCAAATTTGTGACTGGAGTCGTCATCTAAGAGTTCCTGATTTCTCTGCAAAGTAGCAGACAGAAGCCAAGCCTGAGAAATGGCAGGAAAGAAGTATACTAGGGTAAGAAGCATCACAAAAGAATGCCTTTCCCACAGGTCCCACTGTCCTTCCCCGGGCATGGTTTGCTCCTCTGTTACTTGAGCTCGGTGTGAACTCTCACTTTTGGCTCCTGAACCACATGGCCTTCATTTCTTGCTCATTCCCATTTCATTGTCCAGATCTCATGCCACAGCTGCAGCAAGTCCCACTGGGAATGTAAATCAGGGCCTGGATATTGCGGGGGGCAGGAACAAATATCCATCCCACAGGAAGTTTGTACTGTAAATTGCTCTAGACTGTTGAGTCACCTCAATAACACACACAGGAAAAGGTTTTTTTCCCCTCCCTTCTCCCTCCCTCTCCTCCTCCTTCTTTAAAGCAAATTTACCATAATCACTCAGGGAGGTACCAAAAGACAGGAGTTAACTGTGTAGACTCCTGAGTGGCTTTTCTCGGTGGGCAAATCCAATCCCACCATTCACTAGATGTGACCTTGAGTAGGTAATCTACCAACTCTAAGCCCTCATTTATCTGTCTTAACAATGGAGACCAGTACTGGCACCCACATTCATTATGATTTGGATGCTGTGTTTGTTACTTATCTCTTGTTGCTGAGACAAAATACCTGACACCCAAAGTTAAATGACTTACAGTTAATAAAGGCTTCAGTCCATAAACGGCTTGCTCCAAGGCAGGGTGGACAGTAGACAGGCATCACAGAGAAGAAACAACATGGCACACACACGATAGCAAATGCAACAAGGGCCCTTAACGGTGTCTTTCTACCCCTTTTATCTCATCCACAGTACCAGGATTAGGATGGTGCCAAACCAATCACTCATGTGCAGCGGTTTAGAAATCGCACGCCCTTAGTCTCAGCATCACACATTCCAGATTCAAGCTGCCTCTGGAAAAGAAAGCCCCACCTCATGTGCATGAGGCCTTGGGAGAACATCTAAACATAAACCATAACATTTAATTGTGTGTGTCCCCTCAAGGATCCATTGCAACTGAGGGATGCTCCCTGGGTTAGCACTATTGGCAGGTGCTGAAACCTCTGGGAGCTGGAGTCTGCAGGGAGGTCGCCAGCTCCCTGTGGACATTGCCCTTGAAGGGTACCATGGGCCTCCAATCTCTCTCTGATTTCCTGTCTGGTGGTCAGACCTCCGACAAGCTACTTAATCACTCCGCGCCTCAGTTTCTTCATTTGTAGAAGGAGCCTAGTAATAAAAAGTACCTATTATTGTTGTGTAAGTCGAATACATGAATATGTGAAAAGCACCGAGAACAATGTCTGGCACATAGAACATGCTCAGTAAGTGTTAGTTATCATTGTTAGCTGCTACAGATTTCAGATCTATTTTCATCTACTATTTCACCTTTTCATTTGCCAATACTGTACTATTTTGATTGCTGTAAAAGGTTCAGTTCAGTGGTGTTCTTTTTCAGAATTTTTGGCTTTTTCAAAATTCAATTTAATTCTTCATATAAAATTTAAACCACTTTATCCAGTTTCACAAAAGGAACTGAGGATGATTGAGACTGCCCAGGCTTGCCTCTTTCCTTTCCATGCTTCCCCCACCCAGCCCACCCTGACTCTAACTTCTAGCTCAGAATTGGCTTCCTGGGAATCCCAACCTGAGACATAGGGCTTCATTAAAATTAAAATCTTCTGAGCCAGGTGTGGTGGTACACTCCTGTAATCCCAGCACTTCAGAGGCTGAGGCAGGAAGATCACCATGAGTTCAAAGCCAGCATGAGCTACACAGAGACTCCGTCTAAAAGCAAAAGAAAATCTTCTGCTTTTTAAAGGACACCATTAGGAAAATGAAAAGAGAACATATTCAAAATACAGCACATACATCCACCCCAAGACTTGTATCCATAGTATAGAAAGTACTCTTACAACTCAATAACAAAGCCCCAACCCAATAACAAAATGATAAAGTTCTGAAGAGACGCTTTACAAAAGGATGTATAGTTATGATTAATGAGCACATGAAAAATCCAACAAGGACAGGGAATCAGCCAAATGAGCCTAGATTGTCCTATGGCATGGGAAAGTGAGGAGGTTCCTGAACAAAGCCAAACAAAAGTGACAAAGCCTGAGTGAGTCAAAAGGACCCAGGAACCAGCTCAAAGGGCTCCCAACAGTCAGTCCTGGAACCTTTGAGCATTCAAATAACTAAATAATTAATAATTAAGTACTTAACAAAATAGCTTCATCAAACAATTAAACAATGAGTATAATTAAATATTGGGTTATATCACATTGTGTAAAAGGAGAACCCGTAATTGAATAAATGACTCTGGTGAAGGACAAACCTTCCCTACAGAAGAATTCCAAATGATGTAGGTGGGTCCTTTCCTGTGAGGAGACAGAGTCTGATGCCCCAATCTGTTCTGCGGGGTACCCAGAACAGTTTCCAAAGGCTACAGTATAGGAGGCTGGGAAAGGGTCCCTTTGCCACCAAGAATCCCATGAGACACTGAGATGGGTGGTTGAGGTCATAGCCAAAGTGTGCAGGCAGTGGGTGCCCTCGTCTCAGCTGGCTGTGATGGGAATGGCGTTTTCCCTCTGTGGTCCTCCTCACCAAGACATAAAATCCCAAGAAAAACATCAGACGTATTCCAGCGGAGGATGTCCTACAGCATGTGTGGCTGACACTCAAACCGACAAAGTCATCAAAAACAAGGAAAGTCTGAGAAACTGTCTCAGCCAGGAGCAGTGACGGCACCCTGGGACAGAAAAAGTACATTAGGTCAAAGCAAAGGAACTTTAGAACCTAATAATGTATCAGCACTGATTTGTTTATTATGACAAATGTACCACTTAATGTCAGATGTTAATAACAAAGGAAGCTAAGTGTGGGGGATGAGAACTCTGTACTGTGTTCTGTGAGATGAAAGGATTCTAAAATTTAAAAAAACACCTTATTAAAAAAAAGTACAGACACACCATTAGTCATCAAGTGAATGTGAAGTTGAGCCACAGGGAGGTGTCACTCCATAGATACCAGAATGGCTGAAAAGAAAAGGACAGACACTGCCCACAACGACAAAATTTGGAACAACTAGACCCCTCTGTAGCTGGAAAGAATGTGTAAAAAAAAAAAAATAAATCACACATCTGCTTTGGAAAATGATTTGGTATATTTTATAAAGTTTAAAAATACTTGGTATTTTACATAGAAATTCCATTTGTAGGTATTTATCTGGTAAAATGAAAATACATCTAATCAAAGACTTGTGCATGACTGCTTATAACATATTTATTCACAATATCCCCTAACTGGAAACAACCCAAATGTCCATCATCTAGAGAATAGATAAGTACATTGCAATGTATTCAGCAATAGACAGAAAGGGTTTATGATAGCATCTACAACACGGATGAACCTCACCATCATTTGAGTAAAATAGAGATTCAACACAAAATAGTGCACACTGTGCGATTTTATCTGGAATTCTCTGGAACAGGGGCACATAAGCTAGGGCCATGAGTTCAGATCAGTGTTGCCTGAGGCAGAAGATGTGGAGGACGTGACTGCAAAGGCACGCAGGGGGGTGTTCTGACTCGGTGAAATTGTTCCCTGTCTTATTCGGGGTGGAAGTTACCCAACTGTATGTCTTATCACAACTCATTGAACAGTGTATCTAAAACTGGTGCCTTTTACTGAGAATAGATGATACCTCAATAAAGTTTTTTTTGTTTTTGTTTTTGTTTTTTGAGACAGGGCCTCATTTTGTAGTTCAGGCTGGCCATGAACTCACTTCGTGGACCAGGCTGACCTCAAAGTTGCGGCGATCCTCCTGCCCCAGCCTCTGGGATTTCAGGTATGCTGGGATTATAGGAATGCTGGGGTTACAGCTGTGTGCCACTACGCCTGATTTTTTTTTTTTTTTAAGAAAAAGAAATTACAAAGCTGAAAGTCTAACTAGAGTGACATCCTTTATACTCAGAGAAACATTTCTGAAATATTTCTACAGCTTTAAAAAATATTATTTTTGGTGGTACTGGGGCTTGAACTTGGCCTCCCACATGCCAAGCAAGCTCTTCCCCTGAGCTCCTCCCCAGCTATTCCCTGTAGCTTCAAATACGTGGCTGGTGGTGTCCCACCGCTTCTGCAGCCTGCACTCCAGACTCCTTGTACTTAATGCTGCTGTATACCCGCACTGGGGTGTACAGAAGCCGCTTCGCCTCCCCACATGCAAGCCACGCCCACAGTCTTCCCTGCAGCAGGGTCCTGGTCCAACAACTTTTTAAAATTGTGCCACCAACTTTTTTTTTTTTTGAGATAGGGTCTTGCTATGTAGTCTTCTAACTTCCAACAATCCTCCTGCCTCAGCCTTCGGAGTGCGGGGATTACAGGAGTACAACACCACTCCTGTAAAAATATCCCAAATATCTCTCCCTTGGGCCCTCGCACACCTAATGAAATGTGTCTAGTAGCTACTCTCGGGACACCACACTTCACACTGTTCCTCTCTTTCACCAGCATTTAACTCTATAATCACGCTTTACATTTTTAGATAATGTTTGGATTAATCAACTAATCAACCAAGCTCTTACACCCGTGAATGGCGTCACCTGTGCATCCATTTGACAGGCAGACGTCCTGCCCAATGTGTCTCTAGGCTCCACCCACTCTGGCCCCGCCCCATGCGGGTTCTGCCCACTTTATCCAATCACGTTCTGAGCTGGCAGCCACAGCTATATAAAAGGCTCTGGATTCGCGCCCAGCGCAATTCAGTTCTTGCAGAGTGACTGGATAAGCGTCTGGACCCGCTCAGTCGCTCAGTCTTCTTCCTGTGGACTGGTGTCAGCCACAGCCTCGACCTTGCTGACTTCCTCAGACTTCCAGCCAACCCCTCAGCCCTCTTTTCTAGAAGGTTCGCTTGGAAGTGGCTCTGATTATCAGACTTCCAGAGCCAGCTGCAAAGAGCACAGCGAGGAAAGCAGGTAAGCCCGAGGGGGGCGGGCCACGGGTGGATCCAAAAGGTCTGGGATTGTACGAAATCCTCAGTGCCCTAGAAGGGCTCAGATAGCTGCACCCAGCCTTGTTCCTCTCTTCCCACCTTTCCCTCTTTGAGGGATCGTCCCTTCCTTTGGCCAATGTTGATCCCCCACCTCTTCTTGTAGAAATTGGGACAAATTAGGCACCAATCCTTCGGCCTTCTGCCCCTCCCTTAGCCTTTCCTTAGCTTTGCCCACAGGGGGCCCAGGCCTGAGCTGCAGCCTGGTGACCTCTCTGAAAGGGGGTAGGGAGGAGACTGTGTTGGCCTTGGGGAACAAGGTTGCAGCCTTAGCCCCCAGACCCAGTGCTGTCATCCCGTCCGTCCCGCAGGTCTCCCATGGAGGAACAAAGGCCCCGGAAGCGGCCTCGCACAGTGGCTCCTGATCCAGGTACTGTCGCATGCCCGTCATCACTCTTTTTAAATCTTTTCATCCCACTGCCCCACCCACCCACTGCAGCCCGCACACACCTTCCAGTCCCATCATCCCTAGAATTCTATTCAAAATGGAGCCGTGCAGAAGACTAGGGTTACATTTCCCCTCTTGCGTAACTTAAAATTTCCAGGACTCGATATCTATCTGGGGTTATTCTTTGCTTGCTTCTCACAAATTCATTCTCAAATTCTTCCTCAGTTGTTTGAAATTAAACACAAGCACCCATCAATTTAACATTCTCAGAGTCCTGCCTCCTCCAGCTTCCCAGAGGTCACCCCAGATCACTCCTTGCCATCATCTGGGGGAGTCATTAGCCTTTCCTTTGGAATTTTATCCTATTTCCTTTATCAGTTTTTTTTTTCTGTTTACCTTTTCTTTGGAAAAAGTCTTTCAATCACCTCCCACTAAAATATGCATTAAAAGGAAATTATTTAAGTGTGTGCATGTCCAAAAATGCCTTCATTCTAACCTCCCTGATTCCTAAATTTGGGGTATCAAAATTTATTTGGGGACTCCATTTCCCTGAAAACTTTGAACACATTTCCTGTTATCTTCTAGATTCTAGTGTTTCTTTTTTTTTTCTTTTTGAGACAGGGTCTCACTATGTAGTTGAGACTGACCTGGAACCCACTATGTAGCCCAGGCTGGTCTTGAACTCACAGCGATCCTCCTGCCTCAGCCTCCCGAGTGCTGGGATTACAGGCATGTGCTAACATGCCTGGCTTCTAGTGCTGCTTTTGATATGTCTTATTTTGGGGACATCCTGATTCCTGGTCCTTTAGATAGATCACTCTCTTCCCCTCCCTCTCTTTTTTTGTTTTTTATTTTTTGAGACAGGGTCTCACTGTGTAGTTGAGACTGACCTGGAACTCACTATGTAGCCCAGGCTGGTCTTGAACTCACAGCGATCCTCCTGCCTCAGCCTCCCGAGTGCTGGGATTACAGGCGTGAGCCACCACGCCCAGTGCCCCTCCCTCTCTCTTGTCCTCACCTCCTCCTCCTTTCCTCTTTCTATCTCTCTGTGTCATTTTGTCTCTCTAGAAATTTGAGGATCTTCCCTTTGTCACCCACACTCTGAAATTTTGTAGTAATACACCTTGGTGGTACTGTGACTGTGGGTTCCTTATATTTCATTCCTCCTCCTTTTCATCATTTTGGGCTTTTGGTCTCATTTTCGGAAGATTTCCTCAACTTCATTCTCTAAAACTTCGGTGGAGATTTTTGTTCCTGCTCTCATAATTTAATTTCAAAAGACTTTTTTGTTCCTGAATGTTCTTGTTAAACGTATCCCATAATTGATTCATGGCTATAATTTATTCTCCTGTCCCTCTGTAGATATTAATTATAGTCTGGAAGGCGTTTCATCAATGGCACGAATGGTTTCCTCCAAACTGACTGACTGGGTTCCTGTCTCTTGTGTCTCTTTCCTCTGATGCCGTCTGGGATCCTGGGGGTTTGAGTTTATGGGTGGGGCTTGTTGACTGTGGCTTCACAGACCTTATACAGTTGGGCTGTCAAGTGGGGGAGCACCAAGTGCCAGCTTCTTAGGAGTCTTAGGTGACACATGTTCCCCAGAAAAGAATCTGCAGATAATGAATTGCAATTCTCATTGATAAAAATGTCCGTAGATGTGTCTGGTTCTGGTCTTCGAGTCATTCAGCTCTGTGCAGAGCTCCACCACACTGTCTGCAGTACTAGAGCTGCACACTGTCTGCAGTACTAGAGCTGCGCACTGCTTTTTGATCCGTGATAAACCAAGTACCCTTACCTTGGTATTAATTTTTATTTTATTTATTCCTTATTGGCACATTTTGGGTATACAATGCAGTGACATTCATCACTGGGATCTTGTACCTTTACATGACATACCTTGGTTTACCTTGGTATTAAAATTTGAAGGTCATTGTCAAATTGTTCTCTGCAACATTTCCCTTCATGCCTGAAGTGCCCTTGATCTTTTAATCTTTGCCATTTGGATTAGATACGTAATGATGTCCAAATGTTTTCTTTAATTTGAATTATTATATGTGAATTTAAGCATCTTAGATGCAGGTCGACCCTTTGGTTTCCCTGTTGTGGACTGCTTGTGACTGTTCCTTGTTATTTTCTTCTTTTGGCTTGTTTGTCTTATTGTTTTGTTGTTTATTTGTTATTTTGGTTTTTGAGACAGGGTCTTGCTAGGTAGTCCAGGCTGGCTTTGACCTTGTGAGATCCTCCTACCTCAACTTCCCAAGTGCTGGGATTACAGGCGTGTGCCACCACAGCTGGTTCAGTTACTGGGTTTTAAATGTTCTTTGCATTTCTGGGGTTTATCAGTTCAGGTTTTCTTCACCAGTTAAGGGCATTCTCCCCATTACCAACTCCGGGACTTGTGTCTGAGCCAAGAAAAGATACGGTGTTTTATATAGTGCCATGCAGTTGGGCAGAGTGCTCCAATCCTTGGTCCACACGGCCGTCCTCAGCTTCTTTTGTTCGTGCTGGTGCATGATCGTCCGTTCATGCAGGTCCCTCTGAACCCTCTACGCCCTGTTGCAAGGCCCCTCCCAGAACAGTGCTCTACTCTCCGGTGCCATTCCTGGTTGCTCTGCAGCCACAGCACTGGAGATGAAGTTGGGAAAGGAAGATGTAAATGGCTGTAAAGGTCACATGAGTCATTTCTAACTGCTGAATAAGGGATGAACTTTCCCTGTTCTGGTCTCCCAGGGGTGAGTTTTGAGGTTTCCAGTCCTCAAACATTTTTATGTATAGTATCTTTCCTGAGTTCCAAGACTCTTTGAAGCCCCAAGTGCAGGGATGTCCCCTGTCTCCTATCTATCTCTTTCTGCCATCCCCTGATTGTAATGGGGTCAGAGGCCTGCCGCAGGACTATTGATATGTCACAAATGATGTGGCCATCACAGAACACTTGGGTCCCAGCCCTCACCTCCCGATGCTGGCAAGACTGACTAGGTTGTAGATTGAGAGTCCACACGAGTTTGCATTTTCCTACCCAGGAAGTGAGGAAAAGCTTGCTCATCAGATGGTCTCGTCTGGTCTGGTGTTTTGCATAATGATTACAGAGAAAGTGTTATGACAGTATTCTCAGTTTGTTCCACTGTCATGGGTCTACTTGAGATTCTTAACTACTCCTAAGTCTTTCTGCAGCCTCCCCATGGTGGCTCCCCACCCTGATGGTGAAAGTCCTACCCCTCGGTATGGCTCCAGCTCACTGGTCCTGTTCCCCATTATCCCCGCTGCACCATTGCCTCCTGTCCTGGGGTGGGGTTTATCTCTGCTCCTGCTGCCTTTCCCTAACTTCCCCAAATCTCCCCTAGATGTCTGCAGCCTTCGCACGCCCAGTGGCCGAGCATGTCTCCTGCCTGCTGCCCTCTGGCACCCACACCTCACTTTCCGAAGCCCGACTGTTGGGGGCCTTGCTCCCTCCCTCAGAATCTCTCAGTGACTCCTCCCTCCCATCACAGGACCAAACAGAACTGGCTGAAAGCATTTTTATGAGCTTTATCCTCTCCTACCATTTCAAGCTTTTTGCATTCTGGAAGAATGCAGTCCCCTTTGAGGTCTGGGCTGTTTACTCCTGCAGCCATATCCCTGGGCCTCCTCCTGCTGGCATGTGTTTGGAGGCCACCTCAAGCCCAGCACTGCTCTAAACACATTGCTTGCAGTAACAGCCCCATAATGAATGACCCAGGAGTTGCGTGTCACAGCACCAATTCATGAAAAAGAAAGAAGCCCAAGGCCCAGAGCCATGAAGCTGAAAGCCCAGGCATTCCTGGTGTAGACACGGTGCTCCCTCGGCCTGGCACCCCCTGCCCTAGCCTGAGCCATTGGCGATGCTGCAGTATCTCTCCTGCTGATGTGCAGGCTCCAGAGGGCAGAGATGCCACTCCGTTACTCTGATTCAACCTCTAGCCAACTCCAGCCTCTATTTACTCATCACTGTGAGGTCCAGAACACCCGTGCAACACTTGCTGGGGGAATAAGATAAAGCACTGGCTGATGGGAAGTGCTGTCCAGAGGGGGCCCCTGGGCAGACAGCCCTGGGATCGCTTCAGACGCTCTGCTTCTGCCCCGTCCTCTGCTGGCAGAGGACCATGGGACATCTCCTTGACCTACTCCTGCCCTACCTTCCCCGAAGGCTTCTGAGACAAAGCCCCTCCTCCCTTCTCACCCTCTGTTCCTCTCTTCAGCCTCAGAGGGGGACCCCCGGGAGTCAGACCATCCTAATGTGGAATTTGAAGACCTCGGTGAAGCAGATGGTCCGGCAGAGTCAGGCCAACCCAAGAAACCCATCGCTTATGTGAACCCCATGAGGTTTGAGGTCCCTGTCCGCACAGAGCCAGCTGGACCTACACAAAGAGGCCGCATCCAGAGAAGACCCCAGCAAGCAGAGAGAGCTCACACTCAGGGACAGGGTCGGAGAGCAGGAAGGCACAGACACTGGGAGACAGACTCCCGGGAGCAGCTAGAACGCTCTCAGGAACCTGTGCACGGACAGTTGGTTGGCCAGGAAGAGCCAGGCCATCGCGTGGACCCGGAAGCCAGCTGGACCTCAGCCTTCTCCTTCATCACAGCGTCTACAGTCCGTGAAGATGAGTTGTTGGGCCGTAGCTCCCACTCAAACCAGCTGGCGGGGGCAATCCGGGAGCCGCCCCCTGTCTCGGGTTACTGGGCTGTCACAGGGAGGCAGATTTCAGCCATCTATCCCTACATAGGCTTCATCCCGCTCTTCGGCTCCTCCTTGTACTTCGTGGAGACCCCATTCGGCACCCACGTGTTTGGAGTCCCCGTGTTCTTCACCAACATCGCGCACTGACCTGTCGGCGGCTTCAGCTTCCTTCTCTCCTGCTTGGGACTGTGTGCAGTACGGCTCCCTCCTCACCTGGAACCCAGGGAGAGAATCCCATTTCTGCCCCACACTCCCCTGCCTGTACCAAGCAGTGCCTTCCTGGTGTGGCTCCAAATCCTCCAGCACCAGCCATCTGCTCCCAAAGCCCCTCCTGGCCATATTTTATCTACACACACATATATTTAGTTCCCCAGTCCTTGTTAAAGTAAATCAGTAGTCTCTCCTTGTCCTCCCTGCAGCCATGTTTTTTCCTTCCCAAGATGTACAACGACCAAATATTTTTTTGAAAAGAGGGCACCAGGATAGGGGAGAGCAAAAAAGGGGGAAAAGTGACACTTAAGGAAATAAACCTAATAGAATATTCAGGAAAGTGGACTTTTATAAGAATATAATGAATATCCTCAGAGAAGAATGGAATGATGTTTTATCCGTGAGATGATAGCATGCACCTACATAAAAAAGCCAATTACAGAGACTAGGGATGAGAAACAAGGTGGTTAGAACACAACATTATGTGGATGGTTTGAGTCATACAATGGATGGGGTTGAGGAACTAATCAGTAACTAGATGTTTGGGCAGAGGGAGGCCCTGGAATGTAAAAGATGTGACGGATGAGTTCTGCTGCAAGCAGCATGAACACAGGAGAAACTGAACATTTGGATGAGAGCGACATACAAAGAAATGGCCACTGATTGCGCCAAAGTCATATGTCCATGAGCAAGATATGAGAATAGCACGAATTTGGAAGTATGAAATGAAACATTTGCAGAGGCAGCCTGAGAGATGAGCCCTGCAAGCAAAGCTCAGATTCTCACTGGACTTCGATGAGCAGCGTCGGGGAGTTTGAAAAGCCGCAGGGCAACATCCTCAGAGCTTTGAGGGGAACTGACTCTAAATGGAGGATTCCAGTGCTCATGGGAGACATCTTTGGGTGGCAAGGGAGGCAGGAAGTGTCTGCCGGAGATGGAGGCCACAGGAAGGGAGGAAGGGCTTAGAAAGGAAAAGGGAAAACCTTGAATCCAAAGCATGAATTTTCCCTGAACTTGCAGCACACAACTTTTAATAAATGAGGTTTAAAAAAAAAATCCCCTTATTGTCTTAGTCCATTTTCCATTGTGATCACTAAATACTACAGCCTGGATGGTTTATAAGGAATAGAAGCTTATTGGGCTCCCAATTCAGAGTCCAAGAGCATGGTGTCTGGTGCAGCCTTCCTGCTCTCCAGGGAAATATTACAGGGCCTCACATGCCAGCCAAGCCAACCTGCCAGGGAGAGCTCGCTTCAACAAAGCCACTCCCTTACCTCATGAACCCGTCAATCTGAGCAGGGATTAATCCACTCATAAAGGGAGATCTTTCCTGGTCCAGTCACCTCCCAAAGGTCCCCACTCAACACTGCTGCACTGGGGACCAACTTTCCAACACATGAACCCTGGGGACGCTTTCATGCCACAGCACCAATCAAGGTGTTTCTGAGTCAAGTTGTTACCTGCACTGAAAGCACAGATCATCATCCAAGAGGCCACGCCTGTAATCCCAGCACTCGGGACGCTGAGGCCGGAGGATCGTTGGGAGTTCCAGACTAGCCTGGGCTGCACAGTGAGTTCCAGGTCCGTCTCAACTAGGTAGTGAGACCCTGTCTCAAACCACCCCCTCCAAAAAAAGGCATCATTCAGGAAAAACGAGCATAAGCAAAATAACAGAACCTGGGAGGAGGAAGTGGAATGCAAGGAGAAGCGGGAATTAGTGAAATGTATTATTAAGTCTAAATTAGTGCGACTGTGGAAGAAGGATGAATCATCTGGGATTAAGTGTCAGAAGATTTTGACCTAGAATCTGGGGGGTGTTTAGCTCAGAGGGGCTGAAAGTTAAGAGTTCTTGTCTAGTTCCTGGAGACAATACAGAAGCTCAGTGTGAAAGAGCAGCGACAGACATTTGTAAGTTTAAGTACGGGTTCTCACTGGGACTCACTAAGTTAATCGAAATAGAATGTAAAATTTGAAACAGATTAGGGAAAGAGTGGATCAAAGAAAATTGGACGAATCAAACAAAAGGCATGGGGGGTTAATGGGAACAAGGAGAAGGCATGAGAGAGTAAAAATGTTAAACGAGGAATAAATAATTGGACAGTGGCCTCCTTGGCTTCCTCCTGGCTTCAATGGGAATATTTTAAATGTTTTACCATCAAGTAGGACTCTTGCTGTAGGCTCCTCATAGATATGTTTGATCAGGTTGAGGAAGTTGCCCTCTTAAAAGGTGTATTATGAATTGGATTTTGTACTTTGTGAAGTAGGCTTGTGACCAGCTGATTTTAATTTGTAAGAGAAAGTCTCCATGAGAAATGAAGAGAATTTTTCCCACCATCATTTTTTTTTCTCGTGTATTCAGCTATATCCCCTTAACCAAAAAGCTTTGGTTTTCGTTGTACTACAGTTCTCTTATTCAGGTCTCACAAGTCCCCAGTGTAAAATGCGGTTGCCAAAACCAGGATAAAAAATGACAAAATAATGAAAGAAAAGAAAAAGTGCAGCCTTCCCATAACCCTACAGCCTCTTCAAACACGTGTCTAAGATGCATCAGGTGTGGTTTGAGTTTACAAACAAGGGGTATAACATCTTCCAGGGGTCACACTGAAGTACCTGTAAGATCCAGCAGGTGACACAGGGTGGCAGGGGTGCCGGGGACCACAGCACGCTCACTGGCATAGAAAGCCCTTTCTTGGTTCCCCACTGGGATCCCAGTCTCGTGAGAGCTTGTGAAGTTTCGCCCTGGGCTTGCTGTGCGCATGCCCTGCCATCACCCTGGGCCTCTCTCCCTGGGTGTCTTTCTGCAAGATGCAGGAGTTCCAGGCTGTACGTCCAGTGCTTTGCAGTTTCCAGGATGCTTGGATGGCCCAAATGCTCTACTAAGCATTTGTACATGGAACCTTAAGTACCAGTTTTTGTTTTTAACTTTATAAAATCACTTCTCAAAGGGAGATCCTTATGTCAAGTGGTATAGCCAGATTTTACTTTAACAGATACTGAGAAATTGCATCCAAACGAGGTTGCATCAAGGCCAACTCCCACCAGCAGCGAATGAGGGCGCCTCTTCCCAGCAGTCAGTGCTGGGCCTTGGTAATGTTTTTGCCAATCTCTTAGGGAGAAATATGTTATCTTGTTTTTGTTCTAATTAGAACTGCCTTGACTACTAAGAAGGTTTAGTCTCTTTTTATTTATTTTTAATCTATTCATTTATTGGCCGTTTTTATTTCTTTCTCAGTTTAGTTGTCAACATGTTTCTTTCGTCTATGTTTTATAGGATTTTTTTCTCATCCATTTGTAGGGCCTCGTATGTTAGAGATAGTAATACTTGGTCAAGTGTGGGGTAGCTATTCCCCCAGTCCGGCCCTCCTCCTGCTCCGCTGAGCCTGTCTGGCTTCCCTGTGAAGGATTCACCCTCCTCGAAGGCCCCAGTTACTCTTCCAGTTCCTTCAGTGGGCTCTGCTCCCCTCCCCGCCAGGTCAGAGGGGCACATCTGCCACCAAGGTGGCCTCGCTCAGCAGTGTGGACAGTGTTTTCCTAGTCATTTCACCATGTGATCATCGTTTGGGGTAAACATGGACAGTGTTGGGATTTCACTGTTAGCTCCATGCTCTGCATTCCTCTCTCCTTGGGGGAGGATCCTAGTTCTTTTTCTGTTGCTGATAACACAACACAGACTGGCTGAATTGGAAGGAAAGGAGGTTTACTGTGGCTTGGGATTCTGCTCTAAGGCAGAGGGGCTGCAGCTGGTGATAAAGATTCCTGAGGTGATGCAGGGTATCCCATGGTGAGAGAAAGGGAGCTTGTAAAAGACCCAGCCCAACTGGCTTTTCCTGCAAACGCACTGTCACGGTGCCCACTGACCATTAATCCACTGATGGAGTGATCGGCCCTGAAGTCAGAGCCCCCTTAAATTCCTCTTAAAGGTCCCACCTTATCCCACCTCTGTAACCCATGTGAAGGTTAAATTTCAACACAAGTTCCAATGGGAATAAAGCACATTCAAACCATAGCAGGATCAACATATTCTTGGAGGGACTTGCAAGGTGGGCAACAAGAGGCTCTTCCCGTGCTTGGGAAATGACACCCTCTAGGCTGAAGCAAGGGACCTTTCTCCTTGCGCTCACATCTCGCTGGGTCACCTGAGCTTCCTGCAGGTGAGTCAAGTTTGCCCGGGTATACTTGGATGTGGCTTTGCCCCAGGTGGGCAGAGAAACCTCACAGTTGCCTCAGGCCCTTTGCCAAGGAGCCTCCTGGCCCCATCTAATCCACTCTGCTCAAAGATGGTGGCTCTTCCTGTTCATGGCCCACTTCCACTTCCTTCCGCCTCTACCCTCTCTGGTCCCAGGTTCTCTGGGAAGCCTCTGCCACACCCCTCCTCCCTCTTGCCTCCCCACATCTCATCCTTTTTCTACCTCCCAGGACCTCACCCCAGAGCAGGGTAGGGAGCATAGCAACTCTGCTCTGTGGATGCACTATGAAGGTAGAAAGCTATCGATGGATCCCAGATGTTCCCAGAATGGCTGGGATAACGGGCTCATAAACAGTGGCTCGTAACAGAAAACACAATCAACAGTGGCCATTGCAAAACTAGGCTTATTTATTTCTTTTACGGAAGAAGTTTGGAATTATGAAGTCCTGGTCTTCTATGGCAGCTTTTAGGTCTATAATCTTTTTTCTTTTTTCTTTTTTTATTGGTTTTTTGAGACAGGGTCTCACTATGTAGTTGAGACTGACCTGGAACTCACTGTGTAGCCTAGGCTGGTCTCGAACTCACAGTGATCCTCCTGCCACAGCCTCCCGAGTGCTGGAATTACAGATGTGTGCCTCCACACCCGGCTAGGTCTACAATCTTTCTACTCCCTTGTAGTATATGGCTTCCAGCACATGTAATTCAAATAATACAATTCAAAATGGCTGCTGGAGCTCCAGGCATCAATTCCTAATCCCAGAAGTAGAAATGAGACAACTGTTTAAAGGAAAAAAAATGTATCTCTGATTCAGTACACATGCAGCTGCCTTTCTGAAAGTCCAGCCCTTATACTTTTTCCTTTCTATCTCAGTATCCTCAACTTTTACATGGCTATCCCTAGCTGCAAAGGAGTAGGACAAATAAAATCTTTCAGCCGCTGCACTGCCATTCTGAACAACATCAGGATCTGTTTTAAGGAAAAAAGGGGAGAATGGGTATGAGATAGTAAATAACAATTCCTAATATAATAGAGTAAAATGAATTGCAGAGAAGACAAACATCTGTTAGTCCTTTAAACGTATCCCACCACAAACCATTTTTGTCAGGTGCCCAAAAGTGTTATTGATATTTTGAGTAGAAATGGGGCTTTTGAATGTTTAATTTAGGAAAAACATATTTTTACCATATTGAGTCTTCCTACCCAAAAAGGAAAGGTACCCAAAGATGCATGTCTAGTTTCCCCATCTGTGGAGAAATGAGCAGAAGCCAATTTTATTATAATTGGCACATTGTGATGAATCTGCCTGATTTTCTGTTCCTTCTGAGTCGTCTGTGTCCCATACCAATACCAGGCTATCATCCTCCACCATCTTGGGTGATTCTCACCCCCTGGGGAGCTGAGAGGTGGGAATGAATGGTGCATCACAAATCGCCTTGGATATCTCTGACTGTACTGTCCTAAACACACATGATCTTGTCAAACCACCTTGGAGGTGCTAGTTTCATGAGTGTGGGGTGTGGCTTTGGCAGGAGGATTTTT